TAATATATAATGAGGTATCATGGTTGTTTTTAAAATATTCACTAGAATAATCAGTCACTTGGTAAAATTGTATATTTTATCATCAGAATGTTAATTATAATAAATATTAAAGAAAATAAGTAATATTGTGTCAGTTCAAGTATTTATATAACATGAAATAATAGATGTAAGTTGTAGCATACATTGTACGTAAATTATATCATATTAAAGCTTGAGAGTATATAAAGCTTTACAGCAGGGTCTTTGTTTAACAAATTATTATTAATTTCTCATTAATCCATAAAGGTTGCTATGATTATATTATTCATTATTTTTATATTATATTGGATCAAATGAAAACCTAATCCCTTCACTATGAAGCCGTGTAGCTAGAATTCTAATATTAGTTTTATAATTTAAGTTGACATCTCTAGGCACCAAAATTGAAGTTTCATCAAGATCGGATCAATAGTTTAAGGACAGGATTTTTTCAAAGATTATATTCATTTTAAACAATAAATTTTGAATGAATTTTCAAATATAATTAATTTATATTTTCAATGTATATTATTTATTTAGTTGCATTCATATTAACGATAATATTAATTTTAATAACAATAATATTCCCAGTTTGATCACATTTAACATTACTATTATTACGATGAACCGGCACTGAATGTTCTTGGGAACATTTATTGCATTATAATTTATGCTACTAAATACTTTCATACTTGGTGATTCATATATAGTATGTTACTAATATTAATGGGGGCTTACCTATATTTATATATGATAAACTTAATGAATATAGAAATTTACAAAGGGCAGTCGATAATTAAAAAAAAGCGTAATGTTTATCATGATTAATAAACGAGAAAGCATAAATGTCAGACAAAATTCACGTCTAATTATTTTTAAACTGTGCCGGTTCCTGATTATTACGTATACTTAAATCTGCTACTTATATCTAATGTAAAGTATTATAGTAACCATGGTGAAACAACTCACACACAGCGATGTTATACGTTAACCACAATTCGGGTGATATTTAAAACATAGATTAGTATTATCTACAGATTTAATATGAGTAAAGACAATACACTTTACAATAGACTTGTCATAGACTTAGCACTAGTATCCATGAAGACCATAGATTAAGCATTGTCTATAGACCTAAAAATACCCATAGAATTAGCATTGATGGTATAGATTTAACATTATCCATAAACTTATCATTGTCCATAGGATTAGCATTGCCATAGACTTGGCATTACCTTTGTTAAAGTATATCCATAGACTTAAACTGTAATCCCATGTTAAATCCCATAGGGTGGGGGAGGTGGAGGGGTTAGCCGAACAATCCTATAAACCAAATTATTCTATAGAGAATTGTGGTTAAAAATTAATTAATATTTGCACTTAATGAAAAATTTAAAAAAATTTTTAAAAACATTATTGTTATCCATACTTATAAAAACTACTTATAAAAATGTAGTGAATACAGATATTATGTAAACTATAAAAATATTAATTAAATGTGCTAAAAATAACTTATTATCCATGAATCATGGACCATGATACTTATGCATTAGTGCGTCATTATTTTAAAAAATGTGTTTTTATTTTAAAAATTTATACTATTGTATTTATACCATTAATAATGGTACTACACAGGGATATTTTGATACCTGATGGTACCTAGCATTGAACCACTGCTTTGTAATTCATGTACTATTAATATATTGATACTATATATTAATACTATTACTATCTTGGTGAATCAATAACCACGTCACTATAAAATTCCCCCCAATCTATCAATCCACTCTACTGACCATGATACTACACATACTGTATTATAATCCGTACAGATTCTCCCATTATTATAAAATTCTAATACATTTAGAAAAATCTTTTTAATAAAAAACACATTTTTAAAAATAATGACACACTAATGCATAAGTAACTAGGATTGTATTATATCTCAATTGTATGTTGATCTAATTAAATCAATTTTATTATTTATCACAATATAACTAAATTAAAATTAAAATTATATTGAAAATTACAATAATTAAATTTACATTTTTAAATGAAAACGTTATAAATGCGTAACTTCCCATGACAATTATAATTTAAATTAAATGATTTATAATTTAATTAAATAAACTTATATTTTTTTATTAATTTGTGCTAACTTGTAAGATTGTTTTAATAGTTTACTAAACAATTTATTGAGCATGGTGTGTATGTGAGTAACAAGTGACCTACACCTAGAGTGACCAGGTTTACACTATTGGGCAACATTGTGCACTATTTTAGCTCATTGTACACTATTTTTATTTTGTACACTATTGTAAACTATTTGTTCATAAAGAAAAATTAACACAAAAAATGAAAACTTTTATAAAACATTTTGCTTTGTGTAAAAGCATTGCTTGTAATGAAAAACAAGTCATGTTTTAAGAGTTTAAAAATTATATAACAATTCGAAATATTATTGATTGCAAGATTTGAACAGAAAATAGTGTACAAATGTTATCGTACCCATCGTTAAGGGCATATATTTAATCACATTCTAATATAGAACTTTTAAAAGTTAATTTAATTCTAAATATAAAGTAATGTAATATCGATAATATAATTATATTTAAAGTCAAAATATTGAAAAAATATTGTGTACACTATTTGTACACTATTTTGATCAATATTTATAGCTTTTGTACACTATTATAATTTTCCCACCTGGTCACACTACGTTAAATACAAGTTTTAATCAACTTTTATCTATTTAATTTTATTATTTTTATTCTATTTAAATTAGAATTAGTTTTATATTTAATCTTAAATAAGTATTGTTTTACAAAATTTATATTTTAATGATTAAACAACAAGAATAACATGTAATACTCAAAGGGTGTACTGTACAGTTGCATAGAGTGTACAATTTACCTAAGTGTTGACACTTAATTAATGAACACAATAATAGTTACATATTATAATGTGAAACTAGATCATCTCAATTACTATATGATATGCATCACAAAAGTGCCGACATAAAATAGTACTAACTTGTTACTTATTGTTTACCATTTCAATGATTTTCCGTTATTAACTGCAATTTTTCATCACGTATTATGTCATAAAAGTCACACTAATATTGTGTAACTATTGTTACATTTATAAATAATTTTATGAATGAATATCAATGGTTATTGTGTGCCGTATTTTAACAGGAGGTTTACTATTATTAAAATTATATTAATATTGTATAATAAAAATGTATAATATATTTTTTACAAAAGAGGTACTTAAATGTGATATAAAGTATCACATTTAAGTATGATCATACATATGTATCATAGCATCCCTTTATTACTAACTTATTATTGTTATTTTAATTATTATTGGCATAAAATTTACATTTTCATAAAATTTGCTATTTTACAAAAATTACATTTAGTATTTGTTGTAATCAGTGATGTATGTTTGCTGCAAAACTGAGCAATGTACTTTAATATATTTACAAAGTGTTGCAAATTATTACTTGTATTTAGTTTATTAACCCTTATATTTATCACATCTTTCATTAATATTTTGCATAAAGCGGATTACAAACGGCCAGCAATTAAAAAACACCTAGCTGCCCCGGGACAGTATGTACTGTTATATTGTACAAAATTTAGTTAAAAATAGTTTAAAAAGTAAAGATTTTAGATTACTTTAGATTACTTTATAGTAGAATTTAGTAGAAAAAAGTACTGATATAAATTAGTAAAATTTAATTATCATAGTGAATGTGCTTTATTAATATTTATAACAAGTCATTAACATTTTACATACATTATATTAGGTATAATATTAAATAGATTTAAACCAACATCTATTACCTTAAACAGTTCCGTTCCCGGCGGGGCGCCCGTCTCCAGCTATACATCTATCATTTAAACACTAATTACCATGCTCATTTCTCCACTCCTGCCCCATTCCACCCCCGTTTCTAATTTAGACACAAAATAATACTATTTTGGACCAAATATTTTGACGAAACCATTGAACAGTACTTCAAGATCACCGCCGGACCAGTCATTATCGACAACGAGTACTGCGGCCTCACATCACTGACCACTCCGTGTTGGGTCACATCAAACAAACGGCACGTAAACAATAGCCACGCGATAGTGTTTCACTGGCGAGACATCAACGCCCGGCAGCGGCCCCGGTATCGACGCCCCGACCAATTGTGGACACTGTATAACATGGAGGCGCCGCCCAATACACCCTATCATACGTTTGACAACGATATCGACAATAAGTTTGTGTTCAATATGACGGCCACTTATCGGCCGGACTCTGACCTGTATGTGCCGTACGGACGAGTGGTTAAAGTGGCCGATAAGGACACGGATGAGAGTGTCAATGATTTGATGCTAAATGCAAATTTTAATAACAAAACCAAACTGATCGCGTGGATTGTCAGCCATTGCGATACGTCCGGCGGTCGGCAACAGTACGTCCGCGAACTGCAAGAGTATATCACTGTCGATGTGTACGGCGGGTGCGGTCCCTATGACTGTCAGCCCCGGCGATCCGTACACTGTATGCAAAATGTGGCCAATAGTTACATGTTTTACTTATCGTTTGAAAACTCTGTCTGTAGGTCAGTATCAGCTCTCTCTCTCTCTCTCTCTCTCTCTCTCTC